TAAGTATATACATCTCTGATTACGATATACCATTAAATTTAATTTAGAGACTTAAAAAATAAACTCACTTCATAAAATGAAAAAAAATTATATGTATACATTAAAAAATGATCTTAAAGACTTCAATTTGCAATACTTGTAATGTGTTTTGGCCCTTGACTTTCTTCACTGTAAGAACAACCGAAAACAAAATTTTTTAAAACGCAAAGAACAAATGGAAATCTTTATATAGGTTTTATATATAAATTTTTTAAATATATTATATATATTTTTTTAAAATTTATATAGAAAATTTTTGAACTTTGTTCTATGCCTTGTTATAAATTCCTGTTTCTTAATCTTTGTAACAGACGATCTCTCGACGGTCTCTCTGTAGCCCTATTATTCTTCACACCATCATATTTCAGTTTTCATTATAAAACAATATGTCCTCTTGTATTTCTTTGGTTACGCTTATGTCTAGTAACATATTATATTATATTATATTAAATATTTAGATAGTTTTGCAGTTTTTATTTCTAAGTTATTTAACACCAAAAAATATTCCTCCTTAAAATTGTAGTGTATTTACTCTACTTACAGTCAAGCCACTTACAGCCAAACTGCTTATCTTCTGCACCATAAGTGGCATAAATTCCCAACAAATGGCCTCTAAGTGGCTATCCAGTGTGCAGGCAAAAATATTTTTAACAGTGTTTGGCTCAAATTCCCCTTTTTTGCAAATTTCATATGTGCACTTCACTTCGTTTCTGAAGTCCAAAACTAACACCAAACCTAAGTCAACAAGAAGAACAACTAAAAATTGAGAAAATTATGAAAAGTTGCAAAATTAAAATGTTAAACCCAAACGACTTAAAAAAAGGAAAAAGTATTTTGCTACTAAAATGAATTAATTTAAAGTAGTTAAGTGATGAGTTTTTTAGCATTAAATAAACATTAAATGAGGTTAAAAGTTTGAAAGACTTAAACGCTGCACGCCATAGCAAAACAAGCAATTTTTTTATAACTTTTAATGGCTTTCATATCAATTTTATGTATAAATTTGCACTCAAAATTTTATTTTAATTAAAAAACGTTATGTGAAAAGTTATTGAATTACCCAAAAATGCTACATGGAATTAAATTCTTAATAACTACTTGAAGAGTATACTAAAAAAGCATGTTATTAAATCATTTCAGAATAATTTCAGCTTTTATTTCGAACTATTTTCTTGGGCTATAATTTGCTATAAAATTTAATTGCTTTGCTTCTCGGTTTCAAGAGAGAAATTTTACTTTCTTCCGTTAAAAATTTCTTTTTAGAATTTTTATTTCATTCGATTCCAATATTTTGCATGAAATTTATTGAAACGCGCACCTATAAGTGCAATTGAATAAATTTTTATGTTATCCGGTGTAGACACCAAAATGCAACAATTCCAAAGGAGTAGCAAATAACGTCCTTATAAATTTATAAGCAATCGATAGCAGCAAATTTCTTGCTACAAAGAATATTGATTCAATTTTCCTAACTTAACCAATTTAATTGAGTGGGAAAAATATTCGGGAAAATTAGTTTCATATTTTTTAAGTATATTTTTTTTTAATTTTTTCAACTTTAATTTTCTTGAAATTGTTTTCATACTGCTTATCTATAATACATTAATACTCATATAATATCTGTTAATTTATTATTAATAAGCAGTTAAGAGACTTAATATTATACATAACCCAAAATTAACAACAAAAACAAATTTTACACAATAAACGTTTTTCTAATTTAAAGTTTTTAAAATTTAATAAGCTTATAAGTAATATTTTATTAAGTTAAATCATCCTCAGGGGCCTAAAGATTGATTCGATCAAAAAATACATAAAGGATAGACCCCTGAAATTATTTACGAAAAGTGACAGACTTACCAACACCGCGTTATCGAAGAATGGTTACAGGGTCCTCGGGGAGGTATGCAGATCTGAGATCAATTACTGCTTAGTCTTATGAAGTAATAAACAATAATCCAGTCAAGGTGTAAATAGCGGTTATGAAGAAACGTCGTAGTTAATGGAGAGTAAAAGTGCTCAAGTGCATTGACGCAACTAGCCTCAACATAATAATAAGCTATATTTTATTTAATTAAATCAAATTTATATTTTACATATAGTAAAAGAAGTATTTGTCTTCTGATAGCTTCAGAAGATTACTAACTAGATCCAGCAGAAAGTAGAATACAACTGAAACTTTCGACAAAATACATGTGCTATAGTATCTACAATACATTATACATATACACTAAATTTTAATAAGATGACTAAAATTCAAGATGCATAGTGTAAATGTATTTCGACAGCTTGAAAGAAACTAGAATATATTTGAAACAATAGCATATTTAATTTAAGATATACGCTACATTTTATTAGTGTGACTCAATTTCAAGATACATGCACAGAGTAGAGTAGTAGTAGTATTTCGATATCTTTTTAATACATTAAAAATCAGGTGTTTTGAAATTTTACAGCATGCGCCATTATCTTTTCGCAGTACAAAATCACATACCTAAAATTTTTAAATATTTTATTCCATATAAAAATAAATTATATATTATAAAAGTTATAATGAGCAGTGACAAAATTTTAACATGTATAAAAAAATTCTTCTGTAAACAAAAACAATAAATTATAATTTATTTTTAATCAGCTACAGGTGTTTCCCCGGTATAACTAGTTTTTTCATAAATTTTCTCAGAAATTTTGTGGAACGCGTAGAATGAAATATTTCCAAATACTTAACATCTTAAAATCAATAATTATTTTTTGTTCAGTTAAACATCTGTTGATAAATATATACAAAAAATTCTAACAATTTAAAAAATTTTTAAATTGTATGAAATATACATGTAAATATTTTTCGTTTAATTTGTTCATTATTTTGTCTGTATATTTATTGAATTTTAAAATTGTTTGTTTGTGTGTTATATTTTATTTAATAACTGTGGATTTCTATGATAATTTAGCATTTAGTGCTAGATAATGTTGATTCCCGGAATGTTCTTCAACAAAACACCTAGTGTGCCATTGATAGTAACATTCCGATATTCCTAAAGAAATATTTTCAAATTATTATTATTGTCATGTACTAATAAATTCTTCCTTTCCTTTACTGTAAAGCCTACAGCGCCAAAGAATAGCGTCTTCTTATCTAATCCAACCTACCGTTTTGTTGGATATGTGTTCAGTTAGTTAACACCATTAACTTAAGACATAAATTCTTTTCTTGGCGTTTCATTCTTTTCCCAATTCATTTTCCATTCTCATACATCAGGTACGGTCAGTGCTCTCTGAACTAAGTTCCTCCGCCAAAGAAGCAGTCTTCTCTAAATGTTCTTGTACCAATTGCCGCAAACCAGCAAGCTTCTGTAGCTGATGGCCATTTTGTCCCGAACACTTTGTTTGAACATATATTATTTCAACAAGTATGTTGTATAAATTGAGAAAAATCCCTGCATTCCAATTACCTACTGACCACACAGTAGGTCGAATACTATCAGTGCTGCTTCATCGTTCTGTGATAGCGGTGATGCTTTTGCTCCATACAGCTGCACAAATAGGTTAATCAATCTATATCGTGTATTTTATATTGGTCCAAAAAGACTCCTACATAACAATTACCTACTGATAGCTCGAACTATATTAGTGCTGATATATCATCTTATAACAGCAGAGAAGGTGCACTGTACAAGCAGATTGAGCAATCTATATAACATAGCGTAAGTTATAGCGATTCCCACTTCATTGTAATTGTCTTATTGGTTAAAAGTAACGCCTATTAGTAAAGATTATTAGCATTATTTAACACAAAAAAAGTTAGTATTTATTGACAAAGTATTTATGATCTATTTAAATACTGTTATATTGAAAAAGTACTTTCCAAAAGAAAAGCCTACAACAAAATAAAACTGAGTAATATCATTTTTCAAATTGGTGTTTTTTTAAATATATGTTATTATTTAAAATATTAATTAAAATAAAAAATTATTAATTTTTAAAACTACTGAATCAGTTAAAAACGTAACTTTTTACATATATATTTTTTTCTTTACCACTTCTCGAAACATATCTTTGTTTTTGGGAGATTACTGTACTTTAAATAACTCCATAATTAATTACAAAAATAACAATATTAAAATTTATTAAAATAATTTGTAAAATAATCTACAATTAGGAAGCTTATCTTTTGATATTATTAACAGATTTATAGATACTATGATAATAATAGGGTCACATCCCATAGCTAACCCTTAAGATAAACTAAATGTTTTATTTATTATTGTGTGCTATTATTTGTTATTATTTATATTTACAATTATCGAACGTCATATCCACATTTTAGCATATATTCTGTATGAATTTTGTATGAAAAATGGCAATCATTGCTAGACATTTATTGAGTTAATTACGATAGTGTATGCAAAAAATACGAACTGTTTTTTCGGTAATATTTTTATATTTTTAAATTTTAATTCAACAAAAAAATATATTTTTTTATATATATTATTCTGATATCTTTTTATTTATACACATATTATTCATAATATTAAGTGTTACAAGATAAATTCAAACCCTACTTTACTGTTTTGTGGTACGCGTATTCAGATATTTTTTATGAATTTTTTTGGCTTTCATGCCCGAATTAAATAAATTTGGTTAAAACCTGAAATGGTGTTGTTATCAAAAAAAAAAAAAACAACAAATGATATGTGTAAAAAATGAATTATGAATTTTTGTTGTCAATAGTTTTTATTGAATTATAATAGAAACTCGTTTCATTAATTATTTATGTATGATTTTCTTGGAAAAAGAGAGTTCACCAGCCGCCTGGCTTCAAGTAAAATTAACTCAATGCAAAGCTAAGCAAATGTTCAGCAGATCGAAAACTATATAAGTGACTTTAAAGCAGAAAAATCTTTATTGTATCTTAAAGATTGGCGGCAATTTAATAGATTAGTCAAAGAACAAATAGTAAAATGAAATCTTTCAAAATTTTGATGTTTTTGATATTGGCAGTTTGTTGTGTAGCTGTTAATGGTAACATAAAACTAATTATTAATTTAACAAAAATTATTTTATATTATTTTGCCCTTAGCTAAAAAGGACCGTACCTCAACTACTACAACAACAACAACGACACCAGCACCAGATCCAAATGACAAGTCACAACAAAGCACTACAACTACAACAACAACAACGCCAAAACCAAATAAAAAATCTGATGATAGTGATGAGTCTGATGAGGATGATTCTGATGAAGAAAAAGAGCCACCAATGGACAACAAACCATCATCAACAACAACAACAACGAGCACAACAACAACAACTACTACCACCAAAAAGCCAGATACCAAAGACCAAAATAATGAAAAATCAGCTAAGGATAAAACAACTACAAGCACCACAAGCACTACAACAACTACCTCCACTACAACAACAACACCAAAGCCTGATAAATCCATGATGGACTGCGAAAATTTAAGACGACAACATAATGAATCGAAACGCGAAAGAAAAGACCGTCATCGCCGACGTAAGGAATGTAAAAAAATGCGTCGTGATCAACAAAAGGCGGCTGATAAGGACATTAAAGAGGCAGTAAAGCGTATTGAAGGACAAATTCGTGAAGCTATTAAAAAATTGTAAATTGAAACTATTTTGTTAAACCAAAAATGAAAAAAACATATTTGGATATTTTTGTTGTGTTTAAATAAATGATAAATTTATTTTCTATTAAATTTTGTGTTGTCTTAAATTTGGCTTAAATTCTATTAACATATCGTAGTACAAGTCTTTCGTCTTCTTTACGGTACTACTTAGTAAAACAAATAACACTTAAAAAAAATTTACATAATTCCATGCGTGTCGGCAAATCACAGTTGCATATATTGTTCACGTAATGATGCACTGCCCAAGCACTCCTCTTTTGCACGCATGCCTCGTCTGTGCCTTTACGGCTTAATATGTCAGAAAATTGCAAAATTCCAAATGGCAATGTAAGTAAATTTAAAGGTAGATCCTTTTCGCTGTATCCTGGCATAATACAAAATTTCTACTTATAACGCGCACACTTGTCGGTGTGTTCTTGAATACGTTACCCAGTAACCAATTTTGGAATTGTCGCTTTAAGATAGAAATACAGTAATGAACAGTGTCATAGCGTATTTGCACTTAAAATGCTATTGCTCTACATTTTTGAAATCCTTTTAAGCCCTATAAATACGTATCAACACTAAGTATATAACGGAGTCTATAGCCGAGTCAATGTTCCTCTTATTTAAAATTTATTATAGAGATAAATTTCTTTTTACTTATTTAGTATAACAACGTGTCGCAACTGATGGTGATGGACTCCTATCAGTTCACGCCATTAGCACTGCTATTCCGTAAAACATTGTATTTTCGCTTTTAACTTGTTAGTTTTTGGCAAGATATTGATTGGTATTAGTTTCTGCAAAATACATAGAATGTTTAAGCGGGCTTTGTCAGATATATTAAATATTTTTACCGTCTGCAGCACAATTGGATTGATGATGTATTTCATTATTTAATACATCTTTCATATACAAAAAACTCTGCAAAATTTATAACAATTTTGTAAAACGAGCAACACATTCATTAATAATATTCATTAACAGATACCCGTACATATCAAAAAATATGTATATACATTTTAAGGACATTATTATATTTTGTGCCACATTTACTACTGGGTAGTTACGGTGTTACGCTTGGTTGTGTCTTTAAATATGAGATTTTGCTTCAACAATATGTTGCGTGAAATGTTTTTTAATGCGCTTATAAAGGCGTTAATAATGTTTTGCGTGTTAAAATCTTTTTAAAACACCTTTTCAGCATTTTTATAATTATTTTTTTATAAAGCTCGACACTGCATATTAAGTTCCAGAATTCGCGTTTTTAAAAATGTATTAAATAAGCAAATAAAAATTCAACATATTTATGAAAGTAGTATTTTAATATTGAAAATGAATATTATTATTTCATTTATATCATGTCATTCCATAGCAATTATGATAATATAACTATACCGATTTTCCGGGTACGCCCTGTTGATCACATATTTTAGTAATTTTCAGTAACTTTTTTCACTACGGTGTAGGTTAATATAGATTAGTCTTTGAAACTATGTGTGGATAATAAGCTATAAATCAACCCGGGATGGAAAGAAGGAAGATTCTACAGTGAGGGTAGATTCATGTGACATACTTTGAATAAAACTTATATCAATTATAAAGAAAAGTGGAGTGCTTGAATATGTGTTGATAGAAATAATATTAAGATACTATATAGATTTTTTGTTATACTTTACCACAGAACGGGTCGAAGAAGGAAAAGAAGGAGAATTCATAACATTATCTATGGTACTATTTTGCCTAAATAACTTGAAGATCATATAATTTAAAAATGTAAGCTAATATCTATCAATGATAATCTATCATTTGTTCACAAATTTCCATGAAGAAACCAAATGGTGCTCAAAATAGAGAATAATGAAGAAAATCCACTATAAACGGAATAAATAAGAGACTATAAATAGTCTTTAATAGTATAGGCTATTGTTAACAACACCAAATCGGATCCTATCTCACCTTACCTGATGTGATAGAATCAACAGCAGCATGTGAGAAAAGTAATAAGAAACAATATGTGAAATAATATAAAAAAATAAAATTAATTACAAATTATTTATATATAAAAATGAAGTATTTATTTAATATATTTTATATTAGCTGCAACAATAACAATATTACTTTTATTAATTTTTAATTTAATATTTTATTATTATGAAACAACATAATTAGATCCAATTAAATATCCACTTATATTGGTAAGAAAATATACCACATTTTAAATATATACTTATCACTTTAATATCAATCTATTGCGTTCTGCAACCACAGCAGAATATAACGTATCAAGCCTTTTCGAGTGCTGTTTTCATTTACTGAAATAAACTATTTTATTACAACTGCATTAAACGTCTTTATTTTTATTAAAACAAAAAGGAAACGTATAATATCAGATAAGGCAATAGGCAACTACATACTTACTTAATATCGATTATTTATATCTCAAATGCTCGTATTTAGTAATGAAGCAGATAAAAGCAGAAAATTGTTTAGATTGCCTTACGGCCGAATGATTGCAGCTCATTGAAGTTTTTCATCTTATGTTGCCTACTATAAAAAATAATGGAATGGTGCACCACGTCTATAGCTAAGAAAATTCATTTTTATTTTGCCCGAAGATGCCACATGTTTACATTCTTTATTTTTATTGTCTTGCCAAATGTTTCGATTTATACCAAAATTATTTTCCTACTTCTTCCTTTGGTTCGGCGAAGCCCTTCGATTATATGTACAAAATGCCAGATTTCTTTACTTATGTGTAAGCTGCATGAATTTTTCTCAATTTTTGTTTATTGCTGATTTTTATCCTTTAGGAAAGAAAAGATATAACTCCTTAAAAAGTGTGTTGACTTGCCAATGATATTATTATCCCATTATTTATTTATTTCTTAAATGCTTTATATTTTGCTAGTGGGAAGTTGTTTTAGTTTGCATGCACTACTACTTATGTATATATCGATGCATCAAATTAAAGTTGATCATTTTTTACTGCATTAGATGAATTATTGTATTTTTGTTTTATACTACTTATTAATTAGAATTTTACCATAGGTTTAAGTATGTGAATGGTTGGCAACATAATTGTATTGAGTAAATAACTGCCTTTAACTTCCAATTCTTGAACACGTTTAAATACCGCTTTCAGAAACGAAAAGAAACATAAAGGTATACAGTTACAGAGTAAGAACAACTGGTATATGCTTTCGTATTGGTTGTACTACTTCAGTTTATGATACATGTCAAACAGAAGAAATTCCGCACAACCGAAAATCTTCCTCAAAATCTTCCTACTGAATATAGGAACCTATCTCTTTGAATATTGAATACGTTGAAAAACACACCTATCTTGGATGCAAGAGAGCTGTAGAAGGAAGCAATGAGTAAAATCTCGAATGTACATAAACTATAAATGCCAAACTATTCATGCCTTTCAAACATTTATACATTCGGTTGGCCAATGGAAAGCATGCAACACCGATGGTGTAGTTACAAGTTTCTAAAACCAACGATGAGCTAATGGGATTATACATGGTACAACTATATTAGAGGTAGTATTGAGGTCCAAACACTTTGGTCATAGTCAGCGGACATCTCAACAAGACTCTGAAACATCTTACAAAATTCACGTCAACTAAAAATGGTTCAAAAACAACGCTCTCACTTCTATTCGGATCTACGAATGGTTGGAAAAATTTCAGTTTACACATCCAGTAGGTATTGCTATTTTAGATAATTTAAAATATAAGGTTGGCGGTAAAAGATGCTCAAGTGTGTTGAGTATTTGTGGATTATTGGTATCATTATAGAGTTTTTTGTATATCAGAAAGCTTTTAAAAGTCTTCTCAGAACAATATTTTAGTACATTTAAAAATCTTTAATGTGATTTTCTTTGAAATTAAATTATTTTAAGCACTTATGCTAAAAAATTGTATTCAAAGAATTTTAAAACAATTTTATTAAATTTAATTTTATTGATTTAATTCTTAATTTTCTAAGTACTCTTAAATATATCTAATACTAAGATGTTCAATTTTAATTTCATAATGAAATTTCATTAATATGTGTATACATGATGATAAATAAATAAAATAATATAAATTTTATGTAAATTATTTATTTTGTGAAATTTTAATGAAATTTATTTGATTTGGCTTATTGATGAAGTTCATGCATTTTCCATATCTTCTCTAGAATTGTTGAATTGTGAACATGTTCACGCACAATCTTCGACTTCTCTACTCCTAGTGCTGGTGCTGGTGCTGGGTACGAGCAGCATTTTCTGCATGTCAACAATTGTTCTTTGCCACTGCAATCCAGTTTATTTTCTTATAAATTTTTTATAATTTATTTTGCTTTATTTTTATTGTGAAAGGATAAGAATGCAATTTATTCGAGTATAGACATACTTGTCGTTTGAAAAAAGAAATTTATTAATCGAATATAAAAGAAATCAGCAGTAAAACTACAGATAAAATCTTCCAAGTTTATTCCACTCAATTGAATTGCAACTCAATTATTTATAAACGAAGAATTTGCTGGAATTTTGTAAATTCCATTGCTTCTCCATAAACTACAATAAAAATATATCAGAATATATTTTAAAGATATATTTGTATTTTACATTTAGTTTTTTTTGTAGTTAATTTATTGTTAGTTTTATGTGTGATTTACAATTTTGGCTTAACAATATTATATGTCGATAGTTAAGCAAATTGCGAGAAACTCAATGGAATTTCAAGAAGAAAATATCTTATAAAAAAAAATATTTGAAATAAAATTCATAAATTTCAGAAAAATTATGTGAGAATATCAATATTTATTGTATATAAAAAAATAAATGAAAACAAGTTTAAATACAAATTTATTTGTAATTATTTAATAAATGTCTTTATTCAATTATTGAAACAAAAATATTTGCAAAAGAATTTATTCAGTTTCATTTAGAAGAGTAAATTAAAATTAATTACTTCCTTAATAATACTTAAAGAATATTATATCAAAAATAAACACTATATAAAACTCTCAAAAGAGTTTTTAAATCATATCTTTTATTTTTTGATCAACAAGGTATATGTGGGCACATAAAAGCTTGAAAATAATAAATGCCATATTAAAAACAATAAGCACACTTACCTAAAATTACTTTGGAATTGTATTTTTTACTAATAATTTTATAGAAGTAAGACTGAAAGCCACTTAAGTGCGCAATTATGCCAACAATAACTGAAAAGGATACAATGGTTGGTCTCAGAAATAATAAAGATAAAGTTTCGCTTTTCACGCTTCCAGCACCTTTTCTTATTTTAATGCTCTTTTAAGAGTTTTACTTACATAAAGTATCTTTAAAAATAATTTCTGTAAGTATACATTTAACTTAAACAGTTATGAAGACTGTTCTTAACAACACAAAAGAATTGTTGATAGATAGGCATTTTCTTTAAACAACTGTTACCATAAGAAGTCAAAGCAATTAAGTGACAATCAACATTTAACAGAATTCAGTGATTTATATCTGAGTTTCTGAAATGATTTATATTGATATAAGACATTACTATATTTGTTAAACTTTTATTTTTAATTTTTCTATCTTATAACACTTTATTTACAGTCTCCATAAACAATTAGTAGCATTTATAAAATATGAATTTAAATCAAATGCTCCATTAAGCCATTTAAACACATAAGTTTGATTTATTACTGTTTATACTTATTATACTCGTAGTTGACTGTAATTTAATTTATTTTTGACTAAATGAGAAGTCTATAATGTTAAACTCCTTAAGTTTTCGTACATCGTAAATTTCATTTAACAGCACCGCAGCTAATAGGTTTATACGAGTATATATGAAAATATTAAGAGCTACAATCATCAATCTCAGCGATGATTTAGGGAACAAGTAGATCTTCGGGGACTGCCAGGAGACTGGTAATAGTTAATATAATAGTAATTATAATAATAATATAATAGGTAATAGTAATTAAAATATGCCTTTTTGTTTAAAGTCTTTCCAGTATTTCTATATATGAGTTACTAGAAGATCCGTATAATAGTACTCCTTATGTTCAAATTAGTGCTATAAGAGTTTTGTACAAAATAACTTTTTTAAAAAGGTTTTAAAGCTTAGACCTATCAATCAGTGCATTGTTTTTGGTTTCTAGATAACGTTTGTTTTTATTTAGACTTGGTTGTAATATTTCTACTTTCATCTTCTATCCTAATGTATGTCGAGATATTTTACACCGCTTTTTTTTAACCATTAGGTATTTCCAGCAAAAATTATTGCACATTAATTATCACACATATTATGTGAGTTTTCAATGACTGATTGATCCAAGTTTTTATAAAGTAATGTAATTGAAGAGTTAGAATAGAAGCAGTTTTGAATAACTTGGTTAAAGAGTTGAGATGAGTTTAAATGAAAAGAATTTTAAACTATTGTTTCCATATCCTAAAAAAATGAAGGATAATAATGTCATAATGCCTGCGTATTTAGCAACTAATGCATTTTTAGAGCTAAACTTTTTGTATATTAAGGATATCCCAAGTCCCCAAAACACTACCCTGCAGAACTCCTGCCTTAATAGTATATATATTGCTTATATTATATTTAATATAAACATAATTTAATGATATATTTCTCTAAAATATTATTTGAGTTTAAAATTATGTAGGATAAGAAGTAGTCTTTTGATTTCATACATACTTCATTCTGGGTATTCTATCAAGTAGTAAGTTCTATAATGATCTCTATATAAAAATACTACAAAGCAATATTTTTTATTTATTGTAGCTTCCGAAAAGTTCTTCACAATACGATGACATTGATCGATAGTATTCTTATTGAATCGTGAACCAAACTGCTGTTAGGGAATGATCTTTTTATTCTCAATTACTGGTAGCAAACTACACAATAATATAGTTTTGAATATCTTTGAAATTTTACCAATACGGTAATACAGCTATATTTTACCACAATCGTCTCTTGTTTATTTGGTTAAAATATAAAAACTATTTCGGCACACTTTCATTGAAGAGAGAATTGGATCAACCTTAGGGAGGCACTGAAAACTGTAGGTAATATTTGTAATTACAACTGATAATTGTAGTTACTTATTTTATATGCTTGTCTATAAAGTTTATTTAACTATAATAGCATTTATCAGATTTATACACACTCATTCATATATAATTGACAATTATTCAATTATTCAAGGTTTTCAAACACAATGGTTACCTTTAAATATCACTGCAAGGCACTTTACTATTTTGGCAGACAATTACCCAAATGCACTTAACAAAAAAATTCCAGAAAAGTGTTTTAAGCTTGACATTTTGACATTTTTATTAAGTATTTTAACACACTCGAATTCTTTCATAGTCCGTCATGTCTAAAACTTCCCTTTGGGCTTGCGTCCAGAACAATTTTCCTTTCGCTTTGTATCCGCACTGCTAAAATTTTGTTTGTCTATTTGTTAGTGATTTTTTAAAGTGCCATTTGGCAAGGACACTTTATTAGGGTTATTTATTTAAGTGTCATACATCTGAAAATATTTGTAAGGGTGTGACTCAATACATTTAAGTGATTGGAAAAGAATGTGTCATAACAGAAGTTACTGCGAGTGAGTTTTATTTTGTAAACAAATAACAAGTACGTAGAAATTTTTACAACCACTTATATTATTATCAATTTAATATTTTAGTATAAAAAATTTACATAGTTTTAAAATAAATAAAATTAAGTACGAGCAAAATAGTATATTTTAAAACCAATTGAAGATATCCAAAGTACATACACATTATATATATTAAGGAAGGTTGGAGACTTATAACAATGTATTGAAGTTTCGAAAAAGGTTGAAAAAGTTGAAACAATTTTTTTAAGCAGACCGGTCAGTTCTCTGATACACATTAAAAAAGGAATTGGGATACTGAAAAGCGTAGGTTATTGAGTTTTGATCGAAGATTTGAGTCAATGAGAGTCCATACCAGCCTTATGCCACATAATTTTATAGCAACCAAAAAAAGTGAAGAGTTCAGCACTGCAAATATATATTAAAAATATCTCATAAGAATCTATCACAAGAAAATATCTCATGAAATCCGATACGTGAAATACGATTCTAATACTATCAAAAAACAAAACGTAGAGTGCGAAATGGTCGTCAAAAATCAGCAGAGAGCCAAAATAGAGGAAATTTAGCATTCAGAGAACCAAAATGATGTTAATGTCAATCATAATTCCATAAGTTCGACTGAAATAGGATGGATAGGATGCCACATAATGAACAATTGAACAAAGCCATCGTATCCATCGTAGTCACCTAATATAATTAAGAACGACCTTTGAATATTCCCCAACTGATATTCACGAATAAGGAAAATTGTTTTCATACACTGCCTGTCCTGCAAATGACTTTGACCAAGTTACTAAAGGGATGATCGGCGGATGAGTATAAAATATGATTGAAAAACATCGTTTATCGTTTTTAGTACTGTGGTGACTAGGAAAAAGTTTATTTTAAAAAATAAAGTAATAACGAAATTAAAAACCCTATATGTATTTTTTGCGACTATTTCCATCAAACTCTTTGGATCCGTATTAAAATACAGAGTAACTGAGCTCATCACTTAGTAGTAAATATAGAAGAACTCATCAATATTTTAAAGTAATTTAGTCTACTATTTTTATGGCATTAAGGTTTTGAAGATTCATGAATATTCATGACATTGAAGGTTATAAATTATGGTCTGGGTAGTAATATGAACATAAAATATATACTTTCCCCTTTATTTGGTTTCACACAAAGCCTAGTTATCATATAATGTTAAATATGAAATCAATTAAATTTTGAAATTATTTTAAAAATAAATTTTCCTGGTTTCCATTAGTTTTCATTGTTTCTAAATTATATTTTCAAAACGCAAATTCATTTCTGATTCGTCTTGTTTAACCTTCCGCTGTTTATCATTCTCTATAGCATTTTTTAGATGTTCATGAGTAGATTCGATACTTCTCTTTAATTTAAGATAATCGCAATTAATTTTAAGATTTTTTTCCAAAACTTCTTGAATATTAGTAATCTTATCGGTATTTAATAAATTTGACAGGCCACAATCTATCAATTTTTCATTAATATGTGCTTCTGCATCCTCTTGCTTGTTGGTGTCCAAAGAACTATCCGAACTTGATAACTCTACTGATGACCAATCAGTGTTGTAACGATCATTTAACAATTGAGTCTTTAAGAGAGTAAGACGAAGGCTGCTAGACAAAGATGTGCACTGACTTAAAGCCCAGACGATTGCTTTCTCCTGATCGCTAGTTAAACGTTTGTCGTCGGTATATCTATGTATTTGTACACTTTAAATATTATTTCAACATATAAGTTTTGTTTATTTACCTATTAGGAAACATTTTTCATAGCTTGTATTCGAACTATTGCTTAGTATGGAGAAATATACGACTTTTTTAAATGAAATATTAAATTTTAAATAATAGAAAATATGCATACCAACCATATAAACACAGTTTATGAATTTTAATTGAAAAACATAATAATATTTCTATTGTTAACATAAATACTATTCTAAATATAACTATTTTGATATAAATTAAAATGGTTACTAATTTTCAATAGTCGAGAGAGAGAAATAAAGTAAATATTTCGAATACATTCAATATACTGTATTGCAGCTCCAATTTTTTTGTTGTAATACACAAAAGTTTAAATTTGAAGTTACATTTAAATTTATATTATTTTATGTAGTGAATAAATTTTTGAAAAAATATTGAAATATTCATCCAAATATGCACTTGAATTGTTTTATGTACTAACCGCACATACGCCAAATGTTAAATAAAATTTTGGCTGAGATATGAAGAGCAAAAAAGTTTAATAATTCACCAAACAAACCATGAATTAGAAATTTTGTTGTGGTTAACAGAAAATTTAAAAATAAAATAATAAAAATAATAGTAGAAATAGTAATAAAAATTTTAAACTTTTACAAAGTGTTTTTAACCGCTTTTAAAAGGGGAAACACAAAAATTTCACGCAATTTACAATAGCAAAAAACTGAGTTGCAAAAGCATTGCTCGGTGCATATATGAAGGAATTCCATCACTCTGACTAGTGTTTTGTGCAACTGAAGTGGAAAAGTTATTTTTTCATTAAAAGCACCAACATTTTTTTCTATTAGAAATGGAAAAATGAATTTCCGTTTAATAAAATCATAATTTTAACATAACTCTTGTTTTTTTTATTTAAGTTTCTAGTGTTTGTTAAAATGTTACCAGCAGGACAGAGTTTGCAGAATAGTTTCGCAAAGTAAGAAACGATTTACTTTCAACAAAACAACAACGACATGGTATTAAACAACATTTTATATATGCGACGTTATATCACAGCATTATTATTATTTGAAGAAGCAAAGATACATATGTCTTGGGGATCGCTTTTTCGCTGGCTTGGAAGAGATAACGAAAGTAAACTTTTCGGATTTCCTCAACTTCACCTGGAAAACCAAATAGTTTAACTAGGATAATAAAGGTAAGCAACTCGCCTGCTCCGGCAAAATTTTAGAGGGCATCACAATGGGCAATATGCCTTCAAGTGGAAGTGCTAACAACTGTCAACATGAGTATTCTGAACCTAACATAATAGTACGTTGTGATCGATTGTGCTATCTCACAAAAGAGTCACCAAAACTAATCTTAACGATTACGGGAGATAATGACAAACATAACATTATTTCTTGCTTTTAGATTCTACAACTTTTTCGGTTCTATAAAAGTCACTTGGAGTTCGTGAAAAAGTACCTCTAATTGAAGAGCAGATGAAACGGACGTATCTTCTACTCTGTCTATAACAGAATCTACTGGTTCCAGTGTCTTTGAAAGATAATAGTTGACAGGAAGGTGAAAAACCGCAGGAAAAATATACCAATAAACATTGGTATCCCCCAAACAAGTTTTAGGGAAATAACTTTTTATCAGCTTATCAGGCTATTCATCGATAAAAACGAAGGTTGAGTTAGTTTAGGTTACTGGGACCGTCCGAAGACTCACTTAAATCATGAGGTTCATTGTGATACCCTTAAGAATTTAACACCTGTCACTATAGCCATTTAGTACTGACTACAAAGCCATTGACACGAGCTATGGAATTAGAATCTAGCTCTCTTAATGAATTGAAAAAGTGCGACCCTAAGTAGGAGAATCTATTTCTTGTGAAAGCAGGATACTATAACAGAAGGTGTATAGGTGATTCTTTTTCATCATCCTGCATGCAATGTCTACAGTGCAAGGAGGTCCTGATATTGAGCCTCACGGCATATCCTCCCAAAGGGCAGTGTCCCGTAATAATTCCCACTATCTTGTATAAATTTGCTCGGGTTAGGTTAATTAATTCCCCCGATCTTTTCTTACTAATTTATGGCCAAAATTCCTTAGTTTTTATGCAGTTAGTCTGTATCTTCCCATATTGAAGTGCTTTGCTGACCTATTACTGTGACCAACACTACAACCCTAGTGAAGTCCACCACAACGTTATAGTGGTCGTGCAGTCTAAAATTATTAAGAAAAAGTTAAAAACACAATCCAAGACTGTGTCCACTACAGTACTCACTTTACTGAAGGCAATTCCGATTTCCTTTTAAATGTCGCTGATTCAATAATTAGGTGAGGGGTGTTGTAATGGAAGAATTTGAGTTTTATCAATACAAACATGTTTTTAGCTTATTTTATATATTTTCGAAATGTTTTGCCAACACTTGACCAAACTTCGCGGATGTAGAAAACATTTTACATTCTACAAGACCATAAATTTTGTAATGAAATTAAAATAAATTTTTTTTTACTTTTATATTTTTACAAATTTTGAACTAAATACACATATGCGAAAATAAGTAAGCCATCAACTCCTTAAATTTTGTATGGATTTAAATTTTCTCAAATACATGTCCAAGACGAAAATATAGTACAATTCTTTCTAAAAATCAATTTTTGTTTGACTTAACTTCAACTAAGATTCTTGGAATCGTACCTTTCAGTAAAATTACTTTAACATACTTTCACCTTTCGAAGCCAGTCTGATCATAAGGGCCGAAATCCGTTTGAGAAAAAAACTATCAAAACCACTTACTACGAAACATAAAATTTCAATTAGGCTTTTGACCACTATTTTTTGGGTAAATACAAAATAAAACAAAACAAACAAAATAGGACAAAAATCAGGAAAAACCAAGAGAATGGACAAAATTAAAAGTCTGTTTCCTGCGTTCCTAAAAATGTTAGGTGTTGATGTTGAAATTAAAATGGTGCAGCTCAAATTCATTGCCTTGGATTAAGCGACTACAACAGCCAGCAACAAATCGCATTACTTCTGTTCCCCTCGACAAGCGAATGCGGGAAGAGGGGGTTTTAATAAAATTCTAATACAAATGTTAGAAAATTTTCAACAATTTCAGGTACAAGCACAGTACATTCAGTGCACAGTGACACTATCCAACTGATGGATTCAGTAGATTCTAAATGCCGGATATGCACACTCCCACACCAACACGGATACAATCGTTCACGAAAGGAAAAGCGGAAATTGAAATGGGGAAGGCAACATTTGCAACAATTTAAATAGAAAAGTATCATGGGAAAACAGGAAAACCACGAGAACGGCCACTGTGTAATGCTGCTATTGACGCTGACGTGGTCATTTTTGCTACTATTGTTATTGTTTGTTGATGTTTGTGTAGTTGTCGAGAGCTTGTGGATTTAGATACAATGCATTTGCATAATAAATGAGTCATTGCTATTCAACTAATAAGCAAAACGGCTAACGTAGCGACGAAATACCACAACAATTGCAATCAAATAGCGATCGTTAACACGTTGTTGACTGTATTGCCGCACAATTTTGGTTATTTACTTAACGATTTATCTCTTCATACGATATGCAAATGTATCTAATCGAATTGAATGGCATTGTATTGAATATATGTGTGCGATGTCAACAATACTGCAACATTGCAAAATGGTGTAATATCAATTTCATAGCACTACTAATTGCTTTACTCCTCCAACCATCGTTACTGAATTATGCAAAACCAACTTAGGATTTGATGTACAATAATCGAGTTGTGGTGAGGATGCACCTCACAAATAAATTGCTATAAAGTTTAAAAGTAATTTTTACTTACAAAATATATATACTGTTTAAATCGTTTGAAACTTTCTATTATAAGAAATGTTCAAATGATATACTTTACGAGAAAGAAGAAAGAGGTTACCTCAAGATTAAATGTCAGTAGCGTTTACATAGAATGGAGCGACATACAGGAATAGTTGGACCTTACATTCAACAAAAAGTTGTCTTGAATATAACATATAAACATCCAACAAATACAGGTTATAAAAACACTTAAACAATTTTAAATATTCATAATCTGAAACTGAAAAATAAACTGTATATTTATAATCAACTAGTGAGGCCGACCTTGCTTAATGTCTGCACTGCTTATAATAAGGTTCCAAAAACGAAACTCAAACCGCTTTAGTACTGCTTATACCAAGCATTCAAATCATTCGAAAATACTTTGGTAGATCAAGTAGACAAATTTATACGGAGATCTCCTTGTCGAGAGCTTAGCTATAACATACACAAACAGATACTTAAAGTTTTTAAGATCATCGACTCACTTTCGGACATTATATAAATATGTGAACATTAAGGCATCATGTCAATGTTTATTTTTGAGGAAATAAACATGCATTACTACAAACATGTATTCCAGTCATTTTCTCTCTGACAGTCACGCCTTGATCTGGGCAATGAAGAGGTCACTGGGTCGAAAATTACTGTCCCTTTCTGACATTAGGAGTTCCTTAACGGCTGACATACTGATTTTCATTCGAAAGCCAGAATGTCGTCTGTTCGGTTAGGGTCTGTTGCAGCTCAGAGGATCAACTATGACCGCAGTGCTCCGCTCCGTTAGTAGCTAGTACCCTGTTTATTTATATTCTATACTACTGGTAGATACATGTTTACTTCAACAATACCAAATAAAATTTTTTCCACAATTTTTAAAAAGTTCCCTTCTTGAAAGTTATTTGTATATAATTCTCAATTTTAATTATAGAGTAGAAACTAAACTTATTTTCGTTTATCCTGTAATGAATTCTGCCTTATACTATGATCTATGAAATCATATGAACTATTTGAATTGACTATAAAACCTTAACTACTTCCATATTATTTTGTTAAAATATAAATTAAATAATTAAAAATTTTTTGGTGTTGCTTATTCAATTAGTGATTTTATTGCTTAATATTCTAGATTTATGTATTTTGACATATGTTTAAGTATAAATAAAATTAATTACTTTATATAAAACAATTTAATTTATGGTTAAAAATAATTTACTGTTTAGTTAACTTTCAGTAATGGTAAAGTCATTAATCACAGTTACAAATAATATAATTAATATTTTTAAAAATTATTTAAAAATTTAAATACTATACTAAAAAAAATACTACTATACTAAATACTCTAC